TTGCTCGTTTTCCGGTTTTTCTGTGTTTCCTTTGTTTCTCGTCCTGTGTGTTTTAGCCTACCCATTGACTTCTGCAATTTCTTATGCTGGGTTTCTTAGATTTTTCCTCATTTATGTTTTGAGTCTCTGTTCTGTTTTTTAGTTCAGTGGCTACCCTGAAGTTCGTATTCAGAATCTCGTGTATAACATAGTCTATTGTCTGATGGTCTCTTACTTCCTTAGCCTACACTGATTCAGTCCCTTTCCTCCTCCCCTCCTAAATTATTATTTTCATCTCTTATTCCAACTTGTGTTGTGAGTTTGTGGTTAGAGTGATAAGATTGTCTTTGCTTTGGTGATTTCCTTCCCTTTATCCTAATGCTATAGTTGAATATTTGCTATCCTATTCAGATTCTATCTGTCTCCCTACTCTGTGTTTCGTGACCCCTTACGCCCTTTTTTCTTTTTTCAGGTATGAGAGCCTTCTTGAGGATTTCTTGTAGTTGAGGTCTTGTGGCTACGAAATCCCTTAGCTTTTGTTTGTCTGGAAAAGATTTAATTTCTCCCTCATATCTGAAGGATATTTTTGCTGAATAGAGTATTCTTGGATGAAGATTTTTATCCTTTAAAGTTTTGAATATGTCATTCCAATCTCTCCTAGCTTGTAAGGTTTCTGTAGAGAAATCTGCTGAAAGTCTGATAGGGGCTCCTTTGTAGGTTATTTTCTTCTGCCTTGCTGCCCTGAGTATTCTTTCTTTGTCATTCATTTTTGCTATTATATACCTTGCAGTAGGTCTTTTTACATTGACAAATCTAGGAGATCTGAAAGCTTCCTACACACACATTTTTCTCTTAATCCCTAGATTTGGGAAGTTCTCGTCTGTTATTTCGTTGAGCACACTTTCTGCTCCATTTTTCTTTTCCACGCCCTCAGGAATTCCGATGATTCTTAAGTTGCATTTTCTCATTGAGTCAGCTATTTCTCAGAGGTTTTCTTCAGTTTTTTTAATTCTTAGTTCTCTTTCGTCCTCTGTCTGGAGCCATTCAGCCTGTCTATCTTCAATTATGCTAATTTTCTCCTCTATGGTGTCTACACGGGCATTCAGGGAATCCGTATCCTGTTTTGTGTGATCCATTGTATTTTTCATTTCTAGTATTTCTGATTGATTCTTCTTTGTAGTTTCAATCTCTTTTGTGAAGTAACTCCAGAACTCATTGACTTGTTTCTGTATATTTCCCTTTACCTCATTGAGTATTTTGATGATAGCTGTTTTGATTTTGAACTCATCTTCACTTAGTTTACTTATTTCCAAGTCCTCAGGACATACTTCTGTGTTTTTATTGTTTTCCTTTTGGTCTGGAGCTTTTATAAATTGCTGGATGGTAGAGGAGCAGTTTTTGCGCATAATGCTGTTATTCGGTTGCAATTACAGCCTGTCAGCACTAGATGGGGGTCAAGAGCCGTGTGTTCTGAGCCCTCCTCCTTCAGCTGCAATGGTAGCACACAGTGTGGGTTGGGGGAGGAGGGACACTTTCTCTTGCGCACCAACCTGGATTCGGATCAGCTCTCGCTCTCTGGTCTCCTGGGACCCTGGGCCAATGGGGTCCCCCACACGAAAGCTTTCCCGTTCTGGGGTTTCCACTGGACAGGCGGTGGGAGTCCTGGACGATCCTGCAGATGCGTGACCCCTCCCCCGTTCCTTCCCTCTCCCGCAGCAGTGATCCCAGTCTGTAGGGGAGGGAGCTAAGTTCTCTCCTACCCTGTTCCAGCTCCTCAAAGAGGGGCTACAGCCTCTCCACCCTCCATCGTTTGGTTGCTGTGGGTCTCCAATGATTTCTGTTATTAGGATATTTTTCTTTTGGTTGGAAAGCAGTTGCTCTTCTTGGTTGTAATTTGGAGGGGAGAGAGTCCCGGGTGAGCTCAGGCCGCCATGTCACTGACCTCGCTCCCAGAGTAGTCTGTTTTGATCCTGTGTATTTATGTAGTATCAGTTGTAATGTCTCCTCTTTCATTTCTAATTTTATTTATTTGAGTCTTCTATCTTTTTATCTTAGTTAGTCTAGATAAAGGTTTGTCAATTTTATTTATCTTTTTAGGAAAACTAGCTCTGAGTTTTGTTGATTATTTTGATTGTTATTCTTATCTCTTTATTTCTGCTCTCATCTTTATTATTTCCTTCCTTCTGCTAACTTTGGGCTTATTCTGTTTTTTTTTATAGTTCCTTGAGATGTACAGTTATATTTTTTATTTGAGATATTTCTAATTTCTTAATATATGCTTTTCCCCCATAAATTTTTCTCTCAACTGCTTTTGCAGCATTCCATAAGTTTTGGTATGTTGTGTTTTCATTTTCATTAGTTTCAAGATACTTTTTTTATTTCCCAATTGATATCTTCTTTCACCTGTTGATTGTTCAAAAGTGTTTTAATTTCCACATATATGTAGATTTTCCAGCTTTCCTCTTGTTGATTTCTAGTTTAATAACACTGTAGTTGGAAAAGATAGTTGTCGTGATTTCAGTCTTCTTAAATTTGTTAAGACTTGTTTTGTGTCCTATCATATGATCTATCCTGGAAAATAATCTTTGTGGACTTTAGATGAATGTGCTTTCTACTGCAGTTGGATGGAATGTTCTATATATGTCTATTAAGTCCATTTGGTCATAGTATGGTTCCCTTCTGACACATCCTTGCTGATTTTATATCTGGTTGATCTCTCCATTGCTGAAAGTGGGGTATTGAAGTCATCTGTTATTACTGTATTGTTATGTTTCTCCCCTCAGATCTGTTAGTATTTGCTTAATATATTTAGGTGCTTGGAAGTGCATGTATATTTATGATTGTCATGTTTTCTTGATGAATTGACCCCTTTATCATTATATAATGACCTTATTTGACTCTTGTTACCATTTTTGCTTTAAAGTCTATTTTGTCTGAAATAAGTGTGGCTATCCAATTTCTTTTGGTTTCAGCCTGCATGAAATATCTCCTTCCATTCCTTCACTTGGAGCTTGTTTGTGTCTTTAAAGCTGAGTGAGTCTCTTGTAGGCAGCATATACTTGGGTCCTGCTTTTTTATCCATCTAACCACTCTCTGCCTTTTGATTGGTGAATTCCAAGTATCTGCATTTAAAGTGATTATTGATATGTAAGGACTCACTGCTCTCATCTTCCTGATTGATTTCTGCTTGTGTTGTATTTCCGTTGTTTCTTTTTCCTTCTGTTTCTGTCTACCTTTGTAGATTGGTGTTCCATGGTTGTATGCTCTGTTTCTCCTTTCAGCCTCTGTTTGTTCAGTGTTTCCATGGGGAAATCAGGGCTTGGAGCTTCCAAGTCTGCCATTTTGCCGCCATCACTCCATGCTACTAGTTTTTGTTTATAATTTCATTTTTACATTTATTGAGGAAATGCTTGAATATTAATTTAAAATCAAACACTATTACAAAGTTCACAACAAAAAACTCAAGGCTCTTTCCCTTCCCTTCCCCACTTCTGATCTCACTTCTCAGAGGCAGCTACTTGCAATCCTTCCAGATTTTTCTTTTGGTATTATGATCTTATTTCTAATAACATGCTTATACTGACTGCTGTTTCTTGCTGTTTTAACTTGTACATTCTCTATTGACTTCTTACTATGGAGGAAGAGCATTTAGCTTTCCTATAGCTCAGCTCCCCAACATGATTCTGGACCAGCCACTTCTATTCTCCCAGCATAGTTATATCACTAGGATGTTTGTGCCTGAGGCCTTTACAGTAGAGATCTCTTCAAATGTTTGGTGATCTTCCTCTCTGCATTCTCATTTAAGAGGGGGGCAATAAAACATGTCTGGGGCTCTGTGTGCCAAAATCCCATGTGGCTGCTCTGTGCCATGCTGCCTCCTTCCCAGGGACCTGGAGTTCCCTGTGGCATTTTACACCGCCCGTGGGCACTTGCATTCTTCTCTATTCTAGATTCTACACCTTCCTTCAAAATCATCACAAAGTGGAAACTTTCCCTGGGTAGGTATGTGGGTTGAAGATTCTTGTTTCCTGTGAAACTTCTTTGGAAGTTCCTCTTCACTCAGCAGAGAACAGAGGGGAGGAGGAATGAGTAATAAGAAGGAAAGTGGAAAGTGTTACCAATAGTTAGGAAAGGAGTTGTCTTGCATTTTAGCATGGGAGATTTCAAGAGAAAGTCTGTATTGTGGTGATGATCAGAGTCTAGCGCTTTGCTGGCCGGTAATTGTCAGACACAAGAGTGTCACCCAGATCTGCCAAGTACATTGGGTAAATCCTGGGTTTTGAGGCTAGATCTTGGTTCAGGTCCATGCCAGCTATCGAAATTATGGCAAACTCCATGACATATGAGAGCCTAGGTTTTCTCATCTGTAGAGTGGGAATAACACTGATGTTATAGGGTTGTTCTGGAATTGGAAATCATATATGTAAAGTGCCTGGTTCATTTGTGCTCCATGAATGGTAATCTTGATAACATTATCATCTGCTTAGTCTCATCACCATCTGTTGACAGCTTTAACTGCAACCTAGAGGATGCAAAAGGAATGGTAGAGAGGAGAAGCCAAGAACCTTTAGTTGGGATATGGTGCCAAAGAGCCCTGCCCCCCACCCACACACACCTGCAAGATGCAAGAGAGGAGCAGACAGCTAGGAATGATTATTCCCAAGGGAAAGTGGGGAACCAGGAGAGCCAACATGTCAGAATCAGAATGTGTTTTCCAGCCAATGCACCCTCCCTCATTTCTTTTCTAACAACTCCACCTAGTGTGGCCAACCACCAAAGTCCCTGATTTCTGGAAGTCCCTCAGTCCCAACACGCAGGTCTGGTTGGTCACCCTCTCCACCACTCACGCTGATGAAAGTCACCACCAGGGTGACCCACAGAGGCCACTGAGGGTGCGTGGCAGCCTTCAGCTATGAGGGGAGGAGCTTGCTAAAGGGCCTGCTGGAAGGTGGGGAGGCGGACACTCAGCCCACTTGATGGACGTGACTCATCCCTCTGACTCCTGTCATCTTCATTTTCAGGTCAGGCAGCGTGGACAACAATTGGATGGACATTTACAACTTTGTTGATCGAGTGGTCAAGAAGTTTGAAAAGTACAACTTCTCCATGTTTCAGAGTGTTTTCTTCTGCCAAGCAGAGTGTCCTGCTCTTTAGACTTGTGGGCATGGGAGCCCCTCGGGTCAGGAACACAGAGCCCAGGGTGGTGTTCTAAAGCAGGAGAGGACAGATTGCACTGGTTCAGTTGGCTCTCAGCAGCTTTGCTTGGTTCCTGCCTGGAAGTCAGGCCATATTGCAGGGGTACAGTCTTCCCCTAAGGCCCTCAGGACTAGAAAACAGATAAACCACTAACACACAACTGAACACCTTGTTAGAAAGTGCTGAGGGCCAAAAGAAAAGGGCAAAGGACTTATAAGACAGCTTAAAGGAAAAAGCAAGAATTCCTACAGCAAAAGTCCTTAATGGCTTCCCAGAGGATGTGGACATTTGAACTAGGTCTTGAAGGACCAGGAAAAGCTGGGTAGCAGGAGCCATCAAGAGGACTTCTTGTAGAAGTCTCTTGTAGAGAGAGTGGTCTCTTTGGCAGGAGGGTAGGGTTAACTCAAGGGAGGGCTGGGAAATGAGGCTGGACAGGAAAGCTTGGGGCCAAGGTCATCAGGGCTCAAAATGCCAGGTACAGGGTTGTGGATTTCCTTCTGTGAGCAGTAGGGAGCTGTACATGATTCTTGAGCAGGTGTATGACATGATAAATGTTGTGCTTCAGAAAAAATGTCAGATAAGTATGGGTAAAATGAATTGGAACAACAGCCAGGAGCAATAGGAAACTCTCTAGGGACCTGTGGTAGCAATTTAGCTAAAAGATAATAAGGGTCAGAGAACCAGAAGACAGTGGCCAGGGAGAAGAAAGGGAGTGGTGTGTATGAATGGCTTTGATGAGAGAGAATAATTTCTTTGAGATGAGAGAAGAGATGAGGCAGGAAGACAGGCAAGGAAGAAAGGGAGTGAATATCCAAAGAATTTTACAGCAGAAGCGAGGTCAGTGGAGAGACACACATGCAGGGGTGTGTAGGCATCTGTCTCCTTTTGTGTGTGATGTGCATGTGGGTGTGTCTCTGTGTGTGTGCGTGCATGGGAGAGACTTTGGGGGTGTTGGAGGTATAGAAATGGAACAGGATCCCATCCTGGCACTCACTGTGGGAAGGCCCCACATCTCCACAAGCCTCAGAATCCTTCACTGAAGTTATGGGAATTTCTGGGAGTCAGAAAATGGTCCCAAAGGGGAAGAGTTGGGGTGGGCAGCAGAGAAGTTGCCATGCACCCCGTCCCTGGCTGCGCATTGCCATCATTTTGAACCTGTGTTTGTGACTTCTCACAAGTTTGTGCTTCCTCCCCAGCCCGAAACTGCGGATGTCGTTCATCACCTACTCCACACGGGGCCACACCCTCATGAACCTCACCTCAGACAGGTAAGTGCTGCCTTTTTATTTTAATTATTTTATTGAGGTCATGTTGGTTTAGAACATTGTGTAATTTCAAGTGTACGTTATTACATCAGTTTCTGTATAGACTGCATCGTGCTCACTACCTGTAGTCTCGCTTTAATCCGTCACCATACATATGTGCGCCTTTACCCCCTTCACCCTTGCCTCTAGTACCACTGATCTGTTCTCCTTATCCATGTGTTTTCTTATCTTCCACATTTGAGTGAAATCATGTGGTGTTTTTCCTTCTCTGTCTGGATTATTTCACTCAACATAGTACCCTCCGGGTCCACCCGTGTTGTTGCCAATGGCACAATTTTGTCTTTTTTTATGGCTAAGTAGTATTCCATTGTTTATGTATACCACGTCGTCTTTATCTGTTCACCAGTTGATAAGGCACTTGAGTTGCTTCCACGTCTTGGCTGTTGTGAATAATGCTGCAGTGAACATAGGGGTGCATAAACTTCTTTGTATTGTTGATTTCATGTTTTGGATAGAAACACAGTAGTGGGATAGCTGGGTCATATGGTACTTCTATTTTTAGTTTTCTGGGAAGTCTCCATACTGCTTTCCATAGTGGCTGCACCAGTTTGCATTACCACCAGCAGTGTATGAAGGTTCTCTTCTTTCCACATCCTCTCCAACATTTATTTTTTATCTTGTTAATTACAGCAATTCTGATGGTTGTAAGGTGATATCTCATTGTGGTTTTGATTTGCATTTCTCTAAAAATTAGTGATTTTGAGCATCTTTTCACATGCCTCTTGGCCGTCTGAATATCTTCTTTGGAAAAATATCTGTTCATATCCTCTGCCCGTTTTTTGATTGGGTTGTTTGTTTTTTTGTTGTTGAGTTATATGAGTTCCTTATACACTCTGGAAACAAACTCCTATCAGATATATGATTTGCAAATATTTTCTCCCAGTTGGTGGGATGTCGTTTTGTTTTGTTCATGGTTTCCTTTGCTGTGCAGAAGCTTTTCAGTCTGATTAAGTCCCATTTGTTTATTTTTTCTTTTGTTTCCCTTGCCTGAGTAGACATGCTGTTCAAAAAGATACTGCTAAGACCAATGTCAAAGGGTGTACTGCCTATATTTTCTTCTACAAGTTTTATGGTTTCAGGTCTTGTATTCAAGTCTTTAATCTATTTTGAGTTAATTTCTGTGTATGGTGCAAGATAATGGTCTACTTTCATTCTTTTGCATGTGGCTGTCCAGTTTTCCCAACACCATTTATTGAAGAGACTTTCCTTTGTCCATTTTATGTTCTTAAACCCTCTTTCGAAGCTTAGCTGTCCATAGATGTGTGGTTTTATTTCTGGGCTTTCAACTCTGTTCCATTGATCTGTGTTTCCTTTTCTGCCGGTACCATGCTGTTTTGATTACTGTAGCTTTGTAGTATATTTTGAAGTCAGGGAATGTGATGCCTCCAGCTTTCTTCTTTTTTCTCAGGATTGCTTTGGCTATTCCAGATCTTGTGTTGTTCTCTATAAATTTTAGAATTCTTTGTTCTGTTTCCATGAAGAATGTCGTTGGGATTCTGAATGGGATTTCATTGAATCTGTAGATTGCTTTAGGTAATATGGACATTTTAATTTTGTTTATTCTTCCAATCCATGAGTATGGAATATCTTTCCATTTATTTGTGTCTTCTTCAATTTCTTTCAATAATGTCTTATAGTTTTCAGTGTATGGGTCTTTAACCTCCTTGGTTAAATTTATTCGTAGATATTTTATTCTTTTTGAATGGGATTATTCTGAATGGGATTGTATTCTTGACTTCTATTTCTGCCAGTTTGTTATTAGTGTATAGAAATGCAACTGATTTTTGTAAATTGATTTTATACCCTGCAAGTTTGCTATAGTTGTTGATTATTTCTAATAGTTTTCTGGTGGATTTTTTAGGGTTTTCTATATATAGAAGCATGTGATCCACAAACAGCGAGAGTGTTACTTCTTCCTTTCCAACTTGGATACCTTTCATTTCTTTTTCTTGCCTAATTTTCTTGTCTGGTTTTGGTATTAGGGTATTACTGGCCTTGTCGAATGAGCTGGGAAGCATCTTGTCTTCTTCAATTTTTCAGAATAGTTTGAGAATGATAGGTATTAAATCTTCTTTGAATGTTTGGTAGAATTCTCCAGGGAAACCATCTTGTCCTGGACTTTTGTTTTTTGGGAGGTTTTTGATTACTGTTTCAGTCTCTTTACTTGTGATTGGTATATTCAGATTCTCTATTTCTTGATTCAGTTTTGGGAGGTTGTATGATTCTAAGAATTATTCCATTTTTTCTAGGTTATCCAAAGTGTTGGCATATAGTTTTTCATGCTACTCTCTTATAATCCTTTATGTTTCTGTGGTATCATAATTTCTCCTCTTTCATTTTTAATTTTATTTATTGAGCCTTCTTTGTTTCTTTCTTAGTGAGTCTGGCTAAGGGTTTGTCAATTTTGCTTAACTTCTCAAAGAACCAGGTCTTAATTTCATTGATCCTTTCTATTGTTTTCCAGTCTCTATTTCATTTATTTCAGCTCTAATTTTTATTATTTCCCTCCTGCTGACTTAGGGCTTTTTTTGTTCTCTTTCTAGTTCTGCTAGGTGTAGTTTAAGATGATGTATTTGAGATTTTTCTTGCTTTTTGAGGTAGGCCTATATCGCTATTAAATTTCCCTCTTACCACTGCTTTTGCTGCATCACGTAAGAGTTGATGTGTTGTGTTTGCATTTTCATTTGTCTCCAGGTGTTTTTTGATTTCTCCTTTGACTTCTTCATTGATCCAATGGTTTTTCATTAGCATGTTGTTTAGTCTCCATATATTTGTGACTTTCTCAGCTTTTTTCTTGTAGTTGATTTCCAATTTCATAGCATCGTGGTCAGAAAAGATGGTTGATAGGATTTCAGTCTTCTTAAATTTATTCAGGCTTGCCTTGTTTCCCAGTATATGGTCTGTCTTTTAGAAGCTTCTCTCTGCACTTGAGAAGAATGTATATTCTGCTGTTGTGGGATAGAATGTTCTATATACATCTATTAAGTCCACCTTCTTTAGTGTTTCATTTAAGGCCCATATTTCCTTGTTGACTTTCTCTCTGGATTATCTATCCGTTGATCTAAGGGTGAGGTGTTGAGGTCCCCTGCTATTATTGTGTTGCTGTCAGTTTCTCCCTTTAGTTCCATTAATAGTTGCTTTAAATACTTTTGTGCTTCTGTACTTATTTGCATATGTATTCATGAGTGTTGTGTCATCTTGGTGGAATGTCCCTTTTATCATTTTATACTGCTCTTCTTTGTCTCTCATTATCTTTTTCACTTTGAAGTCTTTTTCTGATATAAGCATGGCAACACCTGCTTTCTTTTGGTTACCATTAGCTCAGAGTATTGTCTTCTATCCCTTCACTCTGAGCCTCTTTGTCTTTAGAGCTGAGATGTGTTTCCTGGAGGCAGCATATTGTTGGGTCTTGTTTTTTAATCCATCTGGCCACTCTGTGTCTTTTGATTAGAGAATTCAATCCATTTACTTTTATAGTGATTATTGATGTATGAGGGCTTCTGTCATTTTATCTCTTATTTTCTGTTGTTGTTCTGTATCTCCTACTGGAATATCTATAATCCTTATGTTACTTATCCTGATTGAGTTGGATATTTTTCAAAGAATTTCTTCATTTTTTAAAAATCTTAGTTCTTTCTTTTCCTCTGCCTGAAGCATTTCTAGATTTCTACTTTATAATTCACTAATTCTATCCTCCATAATGTCTGCTCTATTTTTTATGTTTCCTACATTATTTTTTATCTTATTAATTGTCATCTTCGTATTCAGAACTTCTGTATGTTCTTTTTAAGACCTTGAGTCTCTTTGGTGAAGGAATCCCCATACTCACTAATTTTATTCCTGAGCTCACTGAAATGTCTTTCTGTGTTTTCTTGTACCTCGTTGAATTTCTTTCTGACAACTATTTTCAATTCTCTGTCATTTAGATTGTGATCTTCTGACTTCTAGTTTGGTTTCTAGAGACTTGTCATTTTCTTTCTGTTCTGCATGTTTCTGTAGTTCTTCATGGTGTTTGATGCATTGATCCTCTGCTAGCACATTTGTGTTAGTATCAGTTCACAGAGTCCACCTTCCCCCTCTGGGTGTAGGGGGGTACGGGCAGGAGCTCTGTTTCTGATCCCACCCATCTGCTGGTAGTTGTGCCAGTTGGGCCACAGTGTATTCAAGTGGACTGACTGTAGCCACTTGGCGGTTTGCACTTGTGTGTGCAGAGCTGCTAGGCTCAGCAGGCTGGTCTGGCTGAGCTGCTGTGTTAGGCAGGGGCAGTGCTTTCACATGGGCCTAGGCTGTGCTTGCAGGCAGTTATGGGCTAAGGCACTGTGCTTTGTGCATGGGGCAGTTTCCCGTGGGCTGAACCTCTGCCTCTCAGTAGGGGGAGTTTGCATGGGTGGAGCTGCCTTGCTAGGTGGATGCTCCCCTGGGCCAGGCTACCACTTGAAAAGCATTCGTGTGTCGGTTCGGCTGCCCCCACTTCTACTCACAGTCACACCATCCGCTGTGTGAGGATCAGCAACCTGGATCACTGCCTCTGGGGAGGCAAAGGAGTACAGTTACTTAATTCCTCTGCTTCCTGGTGATCCACTCCACCCACATTCAGATGTATAGCTACATGGATCCCTCAGGCATCCTGTTGTGTTATGTAGAAAATCCTCTCTTGGTTAATGAATGTCAGTCTAGTTGTAACATAGAGAGGAGAGACAAAGGGAGCAACTCACTCCACTATGATGCTGCCATCACTGGTAAGTGCTGCTTTGATCTCCAAGGCAGGACCCATGGGTGGGGCTGCAGGGAGAGCCAGGGAGCTGAGGGCTTCCATGAGAACTCAGTGGGAATCCCACTGGTGTGCAGGCTGGGCTGACACAGCCTCCCCTCAGTGCCCACCTTGACACCATAGCCAGCCCACTTTGACTCCTGGCTGCACTGGTACTAGCAGACCCCTGTGCTTCTAGACAATCTCCACCCCATAAGTCCCACCCTCCACCCTCCTGAGTCCTTCCCTGGGAACTCTACCCTTTTCTTAGAACGGGCTGGCTGGGAGGACTCCTGGGAGCTGGTGGAGCCAATATTCAGGGCTGCTATGAAGAGTGGCCTGCATTGGGCACCTGCTGTGGGTGTCACTCTCTGCCCTGGGCAAGTGGAGGAAGAAGGGAGACGAAGTCAGAACCTGGGAAGAAGGGAAGGGCTGCGTCAAAGTGCCGGGGGCTTCAGTGGAGGGGAGCTGGGTCCCTTGGTGGGTCTGAGACGGGAGCCAGTGAGTCGGGGCATGAGCAGAAGACTGGGCTGGTGTGCGCGAGGGAGGCATGACGTGCCCGCATCCTAGGTGGGCTGAGCAGATGCCCACAGGCCTGAAGGAAGGAAGTCCTGGGCTTCTGAGTAGTTTGGAGGTTCAGGTTCCCATGGATACAAATGACTGGAACCCAACTCAGAGTGCGTGGAGCACCAGAGCACGGGGAGGACATTTACGACTGATGGGTCCCAGGATTTGTCGGACAGAGCCACTGCTCAGGACCTTGGAGGGAAACTAAGCACCACACAATGAGCAGGAAGAGCCAGGCTGCAGGGGAGGGCATGTGGGGGTCCCAGGGCATGGGCACAGACTCCCATGTCTGACTCCCAGGAGAAGCAGGGACTGGGCTGGCGGCTCCATGGCCTAGGGGAAGGCGAGGTTTTGTGTGTGCCTGTGGTTCCTGTTTGGGAGAGAGAGACTGAGTGGGTTTGAGGTGGAAGAAAGCAAGTCCATGGGGAGGGACTCTGGCAGGTGGCAGAGACAGAGGCAGTGGGGACGGGGCACGGACCTCAGGTGGAGGAGCAGCCCTGGGGGAGAGGAAGACCACTGCCTCCCCCAGGGCAGGGGCTCAGGGCCCAGACCATGAGAAGCTGTGTGAGGCTCCTGGAGGGCCTCCCAGGTCATCTCTGGTGAGCGAAGGTGGGGCTGTCTTCCCCATGGGGGGGTGTCAGGAATGGGTGTGGGGCTCAGGGGAGCAGAAAAGATGTGAGCTCGTGTGAGTTTAGAGGGGTGATATTTTAAGAGGAGGGGTTCTTGCCGAGGGTGCTAGGAGCCTGTGGTCCCTCGAGGAGCACAGCTGGGAGCAGGGGGTGACTTGGGCTGCCGAGCAGCAGCAGGGAGAGCTCGAGGAGGCAAGAGCAAAGCCTGGCTGAGCTGGGTGCTAGCCAGAGGCTGGGAGGCTGAGAGTTTCAGCATACTGGGGGTGCTGCTGACAAAATGGACGTCTTCCAGATGTGCAGAGAGGGGGGCAGGTGTGTGTGCTGGGCTGGGCGGGGCCTGGGTTGGCCTCCGCTGGCCATGGGTCCAGGCTGCCTCACGTCCTGGGCTGGGCTGGGCAGGACTGGACCCGGGGCTCTCAGCTCTCACCCACGGCAGCATCTCTTCTGCCTTCAGTGAGAGGCCAGCCTTCAGGGCCACGGTCTCCTGAGCCTTGCTGTGCCCACTCAGCCCTGTCACATCGGATAAACCTGGACCCAAGACCACCCCCTGCTGTGTCGCAGTCCCAGCCTGTGCTTCTGCATTAACAATGGCTGACTGGCCACCTCCCCATGGCAGCTTGGGGACCATGGCATTTCCACCTGCTTGGACAGCCCTCAGGGCCACTGCCCCAGCTTTGGTCCTTTCCTTCAGGACACATGAGGTCCAGGAGCTGAGCCCTCTAGTTAAGCAGCTTTGTTACTTCCTTTAGCACCAACTACAGAATGGGGAGAGGCTTGGAGGCACCAAGTCATCCTTGGGGGTCTGTGACAGGGACGATGGGAGCAGGGGGCATCAGGTGGATGACCTTCTCCAAACTCACCCTTACCTGTTGGAGGACCGCGTGCCCTCCCGAGGGGACCTTGGGTGCTTTGCAGTCCTGCCAGTCACATTGTGTGTGCCAGCGTCACAGGGGACATCCTGGATGCTCCCACTCCCACATGGATGGTCAAGGCAGGGCCCTTGGTGAGGTCCCCTGAGGTCTGCGTGCCTGAGACGGGGAGCCCATTGAAAGCCAGCTGTACCCATGGGACCAGACAACCAGTGTCCCCCTCATGTCTCCAGTTGGGGGACATGAAGGCCTGTCAGTGTCAAAGACACAGGGCGGATGGGCCATGACAGGGCCACTTGACTGAGTCTTCTGCTGTGCATGCCACTCAGCACAGGGTGGAATGGTGCCAGGACAGCGTGGGGCTGGTTTTCATCCGTCAGCCCCCCATTCCGCCTCAACCCCCTTTCTGATTTTCTTCAGAAATGAGATACACGATGGTCTTGACCGACTTCAGAATGTGGTGCCCTCAGGAGACACAAACATGCAGGAGGGGTTTAAAAAGGTACAGCCTGCTGGCGCTCTGGGAATTTGCTCTGCTTGTCAAGTTCTTAGAGTGCTGTTGGCTGAGCTCACTGCCTCTCAACCTTCCTTCATGTTGTTGCAGGCCAATGAGCAGATCCAACAAGTGTACTCCAAAGGTAAGCTGCCTGCTGACTCCTCATGGGCAGGTCTGTCCGGGATGGAGCCAGGCCTGGGCCTCAGTGAGGCCTGGCACACCCACCTCGGCCACTTCCTAGCGCTGACCTTTGGGGCAAGTTGCTTGCCCTCTCTGAGCTGCAGGTTCCCCCTCCGTGCAATGAGGATAAAAGCCCCCTCAGTGATGTTTCTCAGAATACACGGGATCACGTGTGCACATTCTTGGTTCTTAGTAAACATGCGCTCTTGCCCTACCCCTGGGCTGCACGAGAAGGGAGGGAACAGCCCGGGGCCCTAGAGCAGACAGGCTTCAGTTTTCAGAGAAAAGAGCTTGCTCTCCTCCTTGCCGACCTCGCTTTTGTCTCCATCCCATTTCTGGCTGTGACTCCTTTTCCAGTCTGCTCCTTCCCTTGATTGACTGTCATCCTGGGACTGTGTCTCCAACAGTGGAAAAGGCTGTGCTGGGCCAGAACCATCTTTGTCTAGACTGTAGGGTTACAGCTCTTGTCAGGAGAGATGCGTGGGCCTAGTGGGAAAGGCTTTGAGCTGCTCAAGCGCCTCTGACCCACATTGGGAACCACTGGGGACACAGGTGCCAGCAGGAGTGTGGGCAGGCACTGCCCGGACCAGGAGCGCAGCCTTCCACAGAGCCTGTGGGGCCTGGTACAGTCGGGTCTGCCTGCTCCTTGCTTTGCCCACCCGAAAGGCTGACACTCGTCCAGTGAAACAGCTGGAGTCACCTGTTAGGGCAAAGGTTGTGCCATCTGGCAGTGGTGGGAGTTCAGTAGGAAGGACCCTGAGCTGGCTCCATCTCCTCATCTGGAAAGTGGGTCCTGGGCTGAGCTGCTTCTCCCTCCAGGAGTGGGATGCAGAGTCCCCCAGGCACTGTGCACGGTGGGTGCTGGGGTCTGCGTGGCCTCTCCCCAGGAGGAGGAGGTGTGGGGGGCAGTGCTGTGGCCCTGGCACCCTGCGGTTGGTCACACCCGGTGCCTTTGCCGACGAGGCCACTCCCTGCTTCTATTGCAGACCGGGAAGCTGCCAGCCTGATTATTGCTCTGACCGATGGACCATTGCTGCCAAGTTCATTTAATAAGACTAAGGACGAAGTGAGTCCAGTTCATCATTACCAGCATAATGCTTGATGTATTTGGTGATTTATACTCAGCACTTTCTTTCTCTTAGGCTGCAAATTCTCAGAAAATGGGGGCGAGTATTTACTGCGTGGGTGTAAGCAACTATAAGAAAGACCAGGTAATTCAGTACAAGTAACATGGTGCCGCTGGTGAGCCTAGTAGGGGAAAGCTTCCAAAGTTGGCTTTCCCAGGGCCACCCAGAGGATGATCTACCCAGAGAATGTGTAAGTCTTTGGAAAACAGACAGCCACTGCAGAAATGAATAACAAGTGTGTAAAACCCGCTCTGGAAGTACAGGTAGAAGAGTTGTCCATTCCCTTGGGGTGGGCTGATGGCAAACGCCAGGGTCTGGCCTTGGAGTCCAGCATAGTGTGAGGCAAGAGACTATCTCCTGGGATGGGGACCTGCTGTGTCCTCAACCCCTGGCCATGGGCACAAGGCACCTCCTCTCCCTTAAAGCTGTTGGAAATTGCAGACCGCCCAGATCACATGTTTGGCGTGGACAGAGGATTCAAGGGTCTGAGAAACATCGTTAATTCAGTGAGTAGAGGCTGGATGTGAGCAGGAGCACAGGGTGGCTTCTCACCAGGCCCCCAGCGTTCACTTTTCCCAACCTTGCCACCTCTCTCTGTTCCAGCTCACATCTAAGTGCTGTATGGAAATTACAGCTGTGGAGCCTTCCAGTTTCTGTACGGGAGGTAAGAGCCGAAGTCACTGTTGTAAACACAGGGCTATGTGTTTGTGTGCGTTTGTGTGGGTTATGAGTGTCTGCTGGTGTGGTGGGTGTGGCATGAGGGTGTGGTTTCAGTGTGTGATATGTGTGAGTGTATAGTGTATGTGTAGGTCTTTCATGTGTGATATAAGCATTCTGAGTGTGTATGATATGTGTGTGATGTGGATGAGTGTGGGGTGTGTGTGTGCATGAGCTGAGTGTACACGGATGTGTAGGTTATAGTGTGCATTGGGTATACACGTGTATGTTTGTGTGCAGTGTGTATGCCAGGGGTTAGATGCGGGTATGAGTGTGTGATTACTTTTTTCCCAGTTTTATTGAGATAGAATTCGCACACAGCTCTCTGTAAGTTGAAGGTATACCACACAGTGACGTGTCATGCAAATATTGCAAAATGATTACCACAGTAAGTTTAGTATAACTATTTTTTAAATCTCAAAACCAAAAGTTTAATTAAAAAATAAGAAAATATATCATAAAAGCCCTCAACAAAACGCTGCAAATGGAATCCAACAACACATAAAAAGGACAGTAGCTCAGGACCAGTTAGAGATCTCTGCAGAAATGCCAGTCTGACTCTGTATTTGAAATATCGAGGTAACTTATCCCATCAGCAAAGTGGGGAAGAAACAACCTGCTTGTCTCAATGGATGAGAAAAAGAGCTGGACACAGGCCAACATCCAGCTTCCACCAGGAGCAGAGCCTGACAAAGGCGTCCGCACGGATCGCACAGCTAACATCATACCAGGGGTCACATGGGGAACGCCTCCCCCTGGGTCTGAACCTGACAAGAAAGCCCTGTCTCCCCAGAGGGCCCCCTGCCCCAGTGTGCACCAGCCATCTTGCACAAGTGCTTGGTGAGAGGAGCCTCTCTCTGTCGTGTCCTGGCTATGTGCGGGCATGTGCGTCCACATCTCAGGGATTGGTTCAGCTGAGGTGGGTGGATGCGCGCACTTCCTCTGGCACCAGCACCCAGCCGGATCCAGCCAGATCCAGTCCCAGGCAGCCGGGGCCAGCCTCTGTACCCTTCAGGTGGTGGTGCCACAGGCCGTGGGTCAGACAGAGCTGTGGGCGTATCTGAGGTCTGCTGCCCGTGGGCCAATTGCCAAGTACCTGCAAGTCCCCCTCTGTCTCCAAGAGGTAGAAAGAACGATGCGCCCTGGCAGACCTGTTGTGAGGGGTGAGACCAGTGGAGTCGACAGTGACGGGCACAGGACCTGGAAGCTGGGAGGCCCTACCCAACAGTAGCCGGAACTAGGATTTCCCTCCTTGATTACTGGCTCTGCCTGCCACCCCTCTCCTGAGCCCAGGTTGGGGAGGGAGGTAGCTCAAGGACAGCCAGGACGAGAGTCTACAGCTGAGCCAGCTGTTGGTGGCAGCTGTGTGACTCCTCCCACGTTCTGAAGCTGTGATCTGCAGTGCGCCACGTGGAGGTGGGTTAGAGACCCCCCACACACATAGGGTCTTTTCCTGCTTCTCCTGGTTTAAAGCGCCCAGCTGTGCAGCTGGCCTGACAGCTTCATTTCTCTGATTCTGTCCCCGGACACACACACACGCTGTGGCATCTGAGCAGCACGTCACACCACAGGTGTGGATGTGAGTGGTCATTCCTCCCCCGTAGAGGCCAAGCTGAGGTGACAGGTGCCCACTGCACACCCTCTGCCAGCATAGTCAGCATCCCTGCTCTGCCCTTTTAATAAGTTGCTGTCTTGTCAGAAGCTACCACACAGTGTGACAGTCCGTTGGAGGGAAAGCACAAGGCAGGGCCCTTGACCCCAAATGGAATAGAAGGAGCCATTTCATCAGTCTGTCATCCTGAATCCGTCAGAGGGCCAGGGGGCCTGAGGAAGCAGGCAGGAGGGACCACTAGGCACGTGGCCTCTTCAGCCTCTGGGGCTCACTCAGGGCAAGGCTGAGGCCTCTGCTGGCCTCCCTGCCCCTGGGTCTGCGCTCCACTCCGTCCTCTGCCCAGGGCCCGAGGTTGCTGAGAAGGCCACTTTCCTAACCCCAGGCCGGCTGGCTGTTGGAGGCTTGTTAGCTGGACAGCGGTGCCCTCTGAGGTCCAGCCTGGCTCTGGGCCCCACCTGCTCCAAGGTGCCATGGGAGGGAGGGGCTGCGCTTCCTGCCAGCCCTTCCTCAGCCTTGCAGGGTCCAGGCCACCCATCCTTTGAGAGTTTACACTCAGGGCACCTCACCCACAGGCCCTTTCCTGGTCGACTGGCCCCTCTGGCTTCCCAGAGCCCTCGGTCTGTCCCCCTCAGTGGTCACCTGTCCTCCAGTATGTACATGCCTGCTGCTTGGCTGCGTCCACAGCTTTCTTCTCCTCATTTAGTTTTGGTTTATTCCATCCTTTTATTGTGGGATTTACAGCAAAGTGAAAATGATTTATAATGAGCATACCCTAGACGCACTATCCGGATTTTGCAATTGTCTGACCATGTCGTCTTTATCATTTCTCTCTCTTTCTCTTCATCAATCCATCGCACTTTGGGCTGCATTTCGAAGTATATTACAGTCATCAGCCTATATCACCCCCACACCCCTCACTCTGCGTGTCTTTAAGGGAACAGTATTTGCTAACATGTCTCTCCCAAATGCAGACATCGGCAGTGCATCATTTGATGAGTTCTGACAAACACACACACCACTGTAGCCCAAACCCCATGAAGACAGCGACCATTACGACTGCCCCCAGAAGGTCCCCTCGGGTCCCTTCCCTGGCTTTCCCTGCCCCCACCCGCTGGAGGAGCTGCTCTTCTGATCTCCTTCCGTGGACTAGTTTGGGACTCTGAACCGTCCCCTCAGCGGGCTCACGTGGCGTGAACGCCCTGTCTGCCTGGAGCAGCAGGCACAGTGGTTTGGAGAGTCCTCCCTGCTGTGTGTTTGCTGGGGTTGGACGGGGCTTCTCAGCCCCAGGAGGTAGACTGGAGGGCACCAGGTCATTCTTTCTTGTGCGTGTGATTGGCCCAAGTGAGTCTCTGCAAAGAAGCCCAACAGATGGGGCTCGTCAGTGGCGGCACGTAGTAGGGCCCAGTGCAGAGGAGGGCTTACCTCTGAGGTCCAGCATCCAGGAGCCGCACCGTGGCTGGGAGGCCCTCTGGGTGGAGTGGGCGGGACAGGCTGTGTGATGCAGGAGGACCCTGCAGGGCCAAGGCAGACCCCACTGTGCAGTGCAGGGACTTTCTGCCACCAGCCTGGTGGCTGCTGTGCCTCCGCTGTGATGAAGGTGCCCCTTGTTCCCATCCTCCTGTCTCCCGGAGATAAACACCATAAACGGGGATTGTAAATATGTGTGCACCTATCTCTGTGTCCCTTGCAGGGATATTTCTACATTAAAGGGATCGTGCACTACATAATACTTTCCAGCTCTCTGCACAGTATTCCATCCCATGGATGGACCAAGGTTATTTCTTAGTCTGCCTTGGTCGATATTCAGAGTGTTCCTAATAAGCTGATAATACAAGCCACACTGCTGTGAACATCCCCACAGTTCCCTCCCTGCGGGCCTGGGTCAGATTCCCTGGGATCAATACCAGAAGTAGAATTGCTGCATTAGGGGACACAGGTTAGAAGTTGCTCAGGGATGTCGCATTTCTCTCAGACTCTGTGCCAAGCAGCACCTCCTGTCCCCACACCCCGCCCTCCCCAGGGCAGGGTCCGTCCATCTGTGTGGCCTTCTGGGTCTCATGGCAGTCCTTGCCCCTCCTCGCTGCTCAGCTGCCACCCAGCCTTCTCAGGGGCTGCCCACCTTCCCAGCTCCTCTGTCTGGAGCCCCAGGAGCCTGGGGTGTCACTTTTCTTCCAGACACAAAGCTTTCCTTTCCAGAAGCATTGGTCTCCCTTCCGGGGCGGCCCATCCTTCTGCCCCCGAGAGCTGGCGGGCAGTGGGGCTGGACGTGGGCCATACCACTCCCTGCACGCCACTTAGTCCCTCCTGTGGCTGCATTTCCTTGCTGTGCTTGTTATTGATGGAGGAGTCAGCGTGAGGGCTGCTGGGAAGCAGAAGGAGCAGCTGTGTGGACAGAGCAAAACCCTTTAGCTCCAAGTCTCTTCTGCTCAGACATCTGAAAGCACGCCCCTCCTTCCGCTTATGGAGACTTGCCAGCCTAGTGAGACCCTCTGTGGGAGCTGCAGGCCCCAGGGACAGAGGGGGCTCTGCTGCAGAGGAGAAGTGGCCACTGAGCAAGGCCTGAGGGCAGCAGGGGCCACAAGGTGGGAGGGAAGGGCATGCAGGAGAGGGGCAGCCTGCGATTTACACGTGGGCTCTGCTTGTTTAAAACACTGGAAGCCTGACAAAACACGTGACAGGCCAGCTTCGGCCCACAGCCCGAGAATCTGTTTTGCTCAAGGCTGAGACTTGCCCACTTTGCTTGATGGGTGGGTGCTGCAGGATCCCTTGAAGCGGGAGGCACCGGGATTGCCAGGTCTGAGGTTGTGTGTCTTTCCTGAGGAATGGTCCTCCGTTACCTGACCTTGGGCACACCAGCATCTGGGAGTAGAACCAGCCGGGCCTGAGCCAGGAGGCAGTGGTGGAGGCTGCTGACCTTGGGCTTGCAGCAGGAAGAGCTGTGTGTCATCCTGGCCCATTCCCCAGACCCAGGCGCCCTCGCTGCCCTCTCTGTATCCCCTGGTGTTGGCTGCAGGGGCAGGGAAGTACCCACGAAGCCCCAGGGGAGCCCCTGCAGCCTGGGTGCCCACCTGAGGCATGAGTAAGGGCTGTTTTCTGCTTGTGTAGTCTAGGCTCCTCTGTTTTTATGGAAAGGTTGGCCTGGTGGAATGCACTGCCTACGCCCATTACAGAGTACCTCAGGATTTCAGGGGACGAGGCTGGGCAGTTTACTGGGCTCCATGGGTCAGGGGCTATGATGAGGGCCTCCCGAGTCTTTAGTCCAGCCCAGCCACCTCAGAGTGAACCCTCAGCAACACCAGGTGCAGACCTTGCCCGTGGGGCCCAGAGCTGCTGGTTCAGGCACAGCTGCTCCACCATAGGAACACCCTGGAGTTCCATTTTAGTGGTGGCCAGCCATAATTGTGAGCTCAGAGGGAGGACAACATTCAGCCCCACTCACACAGACCGTTGATGTACCCTTGCAGAAACCTACGAAGTGAAGATTTCTGGAAAAGGCTTTAATAATGCAAAGAACAAAGATGAAGTTATTTGTAGATTCAAGTTCAGCAACACTGAATTATTTGGTAAGTAGTCCCTTTGGTGCCTCCATGTGACAGATTTCTCATGCCACGCTGCTTTCCCCTCATCCACCGAGCATTCAAGTCCCTTGCTGACCATTCGATGTGGACTCTGTAGGGACAGAGGCAGTGTGGACAAGCGGAGGAGGGACCTGGCTGGGAAGCCTGGCCACCTGCCCCTTCACCTAGAAGCCAGGTGGTCTCAACCCCCAGTGCCCCAGGAGCATCTTGGAGCAGGGCTGTCCCCCTTCCGGGGCTGGGTGTGGGGTGCAGGGTCTGCCCTCACAGCTTCATCCCACTCGCTTCCCTCAGCTCTCAGTTCCCTATAGAGCCAAGGACCCAAATCCCACAGGTCTGCTGGTGGGAAGTGGAGGTCGTGCCAGGTGCACTGGTACCTCTCCCAGGAAGGTGTGTCCATTTGCACTGAGAGAGGATGCCACCTGCCGGCCTGGGGCCTGGAATCCTGCCTAGGACACACGTTGCATGTGTGACCTTGACCCAGTGAGCATTGTGTTCTCAGCCTCTGCTTTCTTTGCAGTAAGTGGGGCCACTATGGTGGGTATGCTAACTGAGCTCTGTCACATATGGAACCTGGTATTTGGAAATACTCAGGCACCAGGTGGACCCCCATGATGGCTGAGTGGCCTCGGGAAGCACAGAGCTGGGGCAGGCAGATGTGGTGCTCTCAGCGCTGAGGTGGGTGTGACCTTCCCCACGGAGCGCTGGGGAACGGTTGGACTGTCTGCCTCTTCCTCCATCCCCAGTTCGCCCTGGATCCCTTCAGTTCCTCCAATCGCATGTCATGTTCAGTGACTCCTTCCAGGGCCGTCTCGGAAACCCGGAGAAACTCCTCTCCCCTGCACACTTGTAGGCCATCTCTCCTTCTTTCCTTGGGTGCCTAGCATGGGGCAGGGCACTGTCAAGGCCACATCCCCTCCTGCAGAGTTGTGCAGACAGCCTGAGGGAATTAGGTTTCCCTTGGTCTGTACTTTCTCTGAGTCACTCCCTTGCATGGAGACTAATGTTTATCAGGCGCTGACTGCGGCAGTTACTGTGCTCAGTGCCTTACACACACCATCCCCGTTAATTCTCCAAAGAGACCTATTGTGACCCCTTTGTCTGGATCTGGAGCCAGAGGCGGGGATGATTCAAGGGTTTGCCCGGGGCCACGAGCAAACCCTTCCTGGTGCAGGAAGAGCTGAAAGTACCCACAGGTGACCCGAGTGCCCAGTCTGGCCTTCTGCCCTGTGAGAAGACGGTTCTCAGGAAGGTTGGACGCCCCCTGTCCCCAGGAAGTGTGTTCAGATGCTTCCTCTGTGGTCTCTGGCCATCCTGCTATCCCAGCCTGGAGAGGACAGTGTTTCTGTCTGAGGTGGGCCAGGGACAGGCTCTCACATGGGAGAGCCCATCCCACAGTCCTGGGCCCCCTGCTGACGGCCGCTCTGCTCCCAGTCAGAGGCTGACGGGGGAGGTCCCAGGGCTGTGTGTTGCCAGGAGCTCTGCCGCACTGGGGAGGAGTCACTGGGTTGTTGTTTTTTGGTTTTGGGGGTTTTTTTGAGGAAGATTAGCCCTGAGCTCACATCTGCCGCGAATCCTCCTCTTTTTTGCTAAGGAAGACTGACTCTGAGCTAACATCCGTGCCCATCCTCCTCTACTTTTTATATGTGGGATGCCTGCCACAGCATGGCTTGACAAATGGTGTGTAGGTCCACACCTAGGATCTGAACCAGTGAATCCCAGGCCACCAAAGCAAAACATGCGAACCTAAATGCTGCGCCACCAGACTGGCCCCAAGGAGTGATTGGCTTGTTTTTAATTACATTTTACCCCGATTAAAACATCCAGGAATACATTTTAGAAAATAGAGAAAAGCGTAAAGGAGAAAAATGTTTAAAGAGTGTTTCAGTATGTCACTCTTTTAATTAATCTGCTTTTATCATACAATGTTTTTATAACTTGAGACGTTTTCTAGAAGTGGCAACTGAAGTTTTGGGTTTAATCAGCTAATAGTGGTTTGAAAACTCCTCTCCAGCCACCATGCTTTGCGGGGCCCTCGGTGTGCCGGCTGCTGCCATCGCCTCCTTCCCCCTGCTCTGGCCTGTGAACTCCCTACTGGACAATCATTGAATTTCTTTGTGGTTTTGCATCCTGCCCCTCAGACACAAGTCCTTTCCCCTAAGCATCCTTGGCGATCAGTGTCCATTCTCAGCACCAGTGAAGGAGAAACACAGTTCAGAAGGTCAGAGCGAATCTAGAGGTGGAGCCAGGGAGCTGGCCCACGAGGAAATGAACGAGTCTGTAGGGAAGAGACCTGACTTGTGGTCAGTCCCGGCTCAGAAAGGACTTTGGGCTCAGGACTGAAGCTTCCACAGCTCCGAGTTCTGGAAGTGTGTTGGGCCTGGTGAGTGCCACCTCCACAGAAAACCCAGAAAACAAGAAGCCCCCATTCCCTCCTCAGTGCCCCCATCTCAGTGACACCACCATCCACCTGGTCACTCTGGCCAAAAGCCTGCGTGTAATCCTGGATTTGTCTTTGCTTTCACCCCCATGTCCAGTCCACCAGTCTTGCCTCTGTGTCCAAAGTACAACCAGGTCTGGGCAGCCCCTGGATGGATTCACCCAAACCCCTCCCAGGGCCCACGAGGCCCGCCCACCTGTCCTCACTCACTCCTTTCCTCCTCAGCAAGCTCAGGTAGTCATGCCTCAGGGCCTTGGCACATGCCCTCCCACAGCCCAGAACACTCTTCCCTGGATGTCTCCCTGGCTTTCCCCTCATCTGGTTTCAGCTCCAGGATCACCTCCTCAGAGAGCCCTTATTTTTAATGGAAACTTTCAATAATATACAAAAGGAGCATAAGTTGTTTTATGAACTTTTAGCAGCCTCCGCCTACTTTCAGTAGTTGTCAACTCTGGCCAATCTGGGTTTGTTGATACGCGCACCACTGGTTATTTTGAAGCAAATCGCAGACATCGCATCATTTCATGTGTAAATTTCCAGTTTCTCTAAAATAGAAATTGCATCTCTGAGAGGCAGGACAGGTCCCCTGTCCCTGAACAGCTGTCCTTCCCCTCCGTTCTCTGCCCCTTCCCTTGTCTAGGGACGTCACAGTACTCTTCACTCTGGCGTTCATTTGCTCACTGTGAGTTATTTCATTGTGTGTGTCCCTCTCCAGTCCCTCAGATGTGAGGCCCTAGAGAGCAGGGACCCTGCCGGCCTGTTCCCATTACACCCCAGAGCACTGCCCCGCACCTGGTGCAGGGTGGGAGTGCGGAGATGTCGTTGGACAGAAGGAGGCAAAGAGGAGCTGACGTCTGCCCAAGTGTTGGCCCTGCTTGCCAGGGGCAGGGAGAGGGGGAGAGCGGGGTGGATGGACGGGTCCACTGACATTGTCATGTGGTTTTCTTTTAGATAAAAAAGCCACCTCTGTGGAAGATACCACCATAATATGCCCAGAAGTAAAGATAGAGAAGCCAGGCCAGTAAGTGCCCAGCTTGGGGGCCAGTTGGGCAATTTTTCCCACTGTGAAGTGTCCAGACTGTGTGATGCTACCGCTGCTGAGACAGCATATATCTGCCAGAAGGCTCAGGGCATCCACCACGCCTGCCCTTGAGGTGCTCAGGGACCCACCGTGGCCCAAACTCTGCTGAGGTGGCAGGATGTGGGCCATGATGGCCCCATGGAGGGCACCGTTGCTCCAGGCAGCCTATCAGAGTTAAGACAGAAGAGTCAGGATAGTGACACCAAGCAGCCCTCTCTGGTCACTTAGCCCAAGGCCACAAGGGCATCTGACCCCATGCAGGGCTCCTCATGACCTGTTCAGGCTTCATGACAGAGCTTGATCTCAGAGTGCTTCTGGTGAGCTCTCCTTACACATGCGGTCTGCTCTCCGCTGATCAAATGCCTGATGTTCAAAGTCATTACAGTGACTCCTGTGGGCTACAGTTTGAGCCAAGTGCAAGAACTGTGTCTGTCTGGGCCGCTTGTCACTGTCTGCCCTTTCTGTGCTTCAGGGAAATCACCACTGAAGTTAGCCTGAACAATGCCATCAGTTTCATCAACAATGATGTTAGAATCAGCAGCAAGGACTGTGTGAGTGCCAGGGTAAGTCTGCAGCCTCCCTCCCGGGCTGTCCAGAACCCCCGCACTGGTGGGGAGAGACCCTGGGGAGGCAGGAGAGGGCAACAATGATTCCAGGCAGGCCCAGCAAGTATCTTGTGCAGACATGCACCTGGGGCAGCATCCCACAGCCAGCCCAGGCCCTTAGCCCTTCCTTGGCAACTCCTCTCACCCTCAAGTGTGAGAAGGGCCCTGGGGGTGCTTCTACAAGAGCACCAATGGGGCAGCCAGCTGACCAGGCCTTGCAGAATCTCTGCTCTCTGTGAACCAAGTGTCACTGACGCCTTGTGGAAGGGACCAATTGGAACTCGAAGCTGACTCTAGAGACGCTGCTGAGGGTCTACCCACCCTTTCTCCCACCTGCCACCTCCCTGGCCTGGCCTAGCAGTGGGACACGTCGGGGCTCCATCATGGATTCCAGCTGGGGTGATGGGGAGAGACTGGAGGGTGTGTGCTAGGAGCCAGGTCCAGGACCTCTGGGGTTCCCGGGCCCTCCAAATCAGGGTCCCAGGCACAGGGGATCTGGAGGGTGGCACCCGCTGTGGCCGTGCACAACAGGTGTGTTTCCCCTGCATTGGTGCCCAAGCTGCTGGCACAGCTCCGAACCCACTCAGGACCATCACAGCCCTGCCCCAAGAGGCTGGGGGAGCAGCAGCCGTCATTTGGCTGATGTCTTCAGCCTCCCTCCTGCCTCTCCTCCTCTCTCCTGCTCCTCAGGGCCCCCTGTGCTAACACTCTCACCCCTGCAGGGAGGGTCTCTCCTCTGTTGGTGGAGAAGCAGTCAGGGCTGTGGGGTGCAGCCGGGCTCAGCTCAGGGAGAGGCACCTGGGAAGGGGGGCTGCTCCCAGGAACCCACTTTTCCGAGCTTCTCATCATCCAGGCACCTTAGCCAGGGGCAGCAGGCTTGGGTGACAGAGAGTCAGGCTGGAGGGCAGGTGTGCCAGGAGGAGGGACACCTGCACTGGTGCCCACCCCATGTCCAGGACCAGCTCGGGAGGGTGCCAGCAGGGCGGACAGTCGCCATCTGGTCTGTCTCCGCTTGTCCCTGATGTCCACACCCGGGCCATCAGCTGCACTTCGGCCTGTGCCCATCAGGAGTGCCGCCCACGACAGCCGCCCTGCACAGGCGCGTGCAGGAGGAGCTCAGGAGCGGCCGCGGCTCCCCGTGGGCCTGGGCTTCGCCTCCCTCCAGTGCCCGTTTGTGTGCACGGCCCTCTCTTCCCGCTTCCCTCTCTGCCTCTCTGAGAGCAGAGCCCTGGTCGGGGCAGGGCTGTGCAGCATGCGATCCACGGGGGCAGCGCACTTTCCCATGGTCGTGCAGACCAGGAGCAGAGCTCCCATGTCTTAAGCCCCCACGTGGACCTGGCCTGACCCAGACCTCAGTGAATGCTCTCAGCCTCACAAGTACCCGCCCAGGGTCTCGTGACAGAGGTGGACAGAGGCTCAGAGAGACTGAGTCGCCTTGCCCAGGGTTGCAGAGCCGAACATTGGGGGGAGAAGTGATGGGAGCTGGACCCGGAGCTCCCACCCCTGCTCTTGCACCCCCACCTCCATGGGCTCAGCAGCCCCTCCTCACCCATCGGGGTCTCTCTAGCCCTCTGTGGTCTTCATAACACCCCTGTACTGTCAGCCGAGGCATGCAGTGAGGTGGGTTTGTTCACAGCACGGAAGGTTCTGGAAGACCTTGACAGGGCTCTGGGGAAGAGACTCTCAGCAGAGCCACTGATGGTGTCTGTGGTGCAGGGCTCCACAGTGGTTCTCTGGGGACCAGCCCAGCCTCCTAGTCTTGCTGTGGTCCCTCACGGTGGGGCAATGTGAGGAGAAGTGGGAGCTGGAAGATGAGTACCTCTGGTGTGGGAAGCCAGAAGGTGGGCGCATGGGAAGAGGCCACCCAGAGCCACCCCAGCCCTCTGCCACGTGTTCTTTCTGCAGGGTGAGACACGAGATATGCTGCCGGATGCTGTGCCAGATGACCTGCCAGATGCTGTGCCAGATTCGCAGCCAGATGCTGAGCCGGATACACTGCCAGATGCTGAGCCAGATACGCTGCCAGATGCCTCACCGGATCAACCACCATATCACCCGCCGCCTCCCCCACATTTTATCCCAAATTTCAACCCTTTCTACTTGGTTGCCCTCATCCCGGCCCTGCTCATGTTCCCTGTGCTGATCTGGTGCATCTGGCGGCTGTGCTACAAGAAGGTAAGTGACCTCTGCCATACAGCCCTGGGGCCTAGGCCCACGCGACCCCCGAAGGGACCGAGACGCCTACCTGCCCCATGATCCTGCCTGTGGGCAGGTTCCCATCAGCTCCGGGGTCATCATATAAGCAGCAGAGGCACAGACTCTGTCCTCCATTCTTGGGCACAGACACAGCTGGGCTGGCTTCTCAGGAGCCTCCTGGCTCATGGTCACCTCAGGGAGGTGGCCTTCCAGCTGCCCTGGGCCTGGGGAGTGGTGACCCCAGGCCCCGGAGACTCAGGTGGACTGGAGGCCAGGAGTGGCCTCAGCTGTTAGGAAGAGGGGTCTGCAGGGGGCACAGTTGGCCCCAAAGGGAGACTGATGCTGGCAGGGGGATTCAGAACCTTCGATGGGCAAGAGGGATGTTGCCCATCTCTAGTGCGTTCCGTCAGTCGTTCCTCAGTCATTACTAAGCACCAGGATGTGCTGGGCCCCATGCTGGGCGCCAAGGGACAGAAGTGAAGCGGCCTCTCTCCTTGCCCACAGGATCTCACAGCCTAGAATCTGGTCCGGTTTGGTGCCTGGGGGTATTGAGGGTAAAATGTCAACCTTCATAGGGTGTGACAAGTGCCCTGTGTAGCCAGAGCAAGCGGGAAGGACAGAGACTTGCCCGGGGGAGGGAGGGAAGGCCGAGGCTCTGGCTAGCTGGCTTTGAGGGACACAGGCCAGAGAGCTGGAGGGAGAGAGGAAGCAGCAGAGGTGTGGAGGGGCTGAGCAACCAGCAAGAAGCAGGTCTGGATTCCCACAAAGGAGAAGCAGTGAGGAGAGGACGCCCGGGGTGGGGGACTGTCATCCCTGAGGGCTGGGCAGCCAGGGAGGGCTTCAGGGCCTGGGGGGAGAGAGGGAGGACAGGACGGGGAGGGTTCTCTTGTTCATGTGATGTAAGGCTGCTGAGGGCAGGACCAGGCGGGTGTGTCCACCAGGGACCAGGCCCTTAGTGTGCTGTGTCCCGGTGACCCTCCAGGGAGGGACCGATTCTCCTTTGATAACCAGGGAGCCTGGGGCTCAGGAGCCTGGAGGCTGTTGACCACCCAGCACAGGCAGTGGACGCCCAGATGACTCCCCACAGCCCACGTTCTGTCCCTCTGCTGCAGAGCAGGAGCCCGGCCTGTCCTCACGGCTGAGCCAGAGCTCTCCACCTCCCTCCCAGCCTGGGTTTATGTCTCTTTAACCTTCTAGACCGTCAAGGAGCCACCACCAGTGCAGAAAGCAGAAAAAGTAAGTGGTGTTTGGTCTGGACGCCGTCAGCAGGCCTGATGTGCACACTGACCTTCCCGGAGAGGCCTCCTGCAGCCTGTGGGGACATTTCCTCTCGCACCCACCAGCTCCTGACTACCTGGGCAGAGAGAGCTGGCAGAAAGAAGAGGGCGACAGAGGAGCAGGGAGGAGCCCTGGGGAGGACGTGGGACTCATGAAATGTCCCCCAGACAACACCCTTGCTGTGCCCCCAACCCAGCCTGATGCAGGGCCTTTGTCAGTGACTGAGGGACTCGGGATAGCCTGCTTCAGCAACTGCTAGGATCCCTGCTGAAATGCATGGGGTGTGTTGGCCAGTTCCCAACGACTGTCTGTGGGATGGGCCTTCCCAGGGCTCAGGGGAGCCTCGGGAAGGGGGCTCTCAGGTTTCAGGGAGCTGGTCCCCTCCGGGTCTCCCAGATGTTGGCTCCTTTCCATTGGTCTCCATCCCTGTGCCCTGGCCAGGCGAGGGGCTTTCTGGGACTGGCCTTAGGGTCTGCAGGGCTCAGGAGGGTGAGCGAGTTTTAGCTGGCATTGTTCCGTGAGGGCGGCCCAGCCCAGGTGAGCACGGGGTCAAGGGTCACGGGAGCAGGCTGTGGCTCTCCTAAGGTGGGGCAATCCAGGCCCATGGGAAGTAGTCAGAGCTGGGGCCTGGGGTCCCCAGGCAGGGGCCCTGGTCCTGGGATCTGGCGGACAACAGGCCTCACTGCCCTGGAGGCCTGTGCGCTGGTTGCAGGGTGACCTGGGTGGCTGGCTCTGCCTGCAGCAGGTGAATGGAGTCCTGTCTCCTGGAAATGCTCACAGCCTGATGTCCCCCGTGACGTCACTCGGCCTCACCCCAGGATTCTCCAGCAAGGGCCGCCTCCAGAAACCAAGGGGGAGGACAAGATTGGTTGGATGTTTGGGGAGAGCCATTTTCACAAACCCAAAGGAGTTTGCTTGTTTTTCACATGGAGCCCGCCCTCCTGTGGTGCAGCATGCTGCTCATTTGTCCTCAAACTCTCCAACCAGCACTTGCTGAGTGGCCAGTGCTTGACAGGTGTTAGTGACCAGACGTCATGTGTCTGCACCCTAGGAGCTGCCAGACATGAAGCCAACTCTGTTTTCTCTTCCCAGGAGCCAGAAGATAAGATATGCTGTGTACGAACATGCCCCACAGTGTTTGTACCTTGCGGGTGCCAATCAAGTGGGATATATCGGATGGAGGTGATTAGGGCTCCTGGGGGGGGTGGGCTGTGACCCCCAGGCTGGGGTGGGAGGAGAGGGGCCGCTGGTTCATGCTGCACAGGCCTGGCCTCGAAGGCACAGCTTGGCTGGAGATGAGTTTTATGGGCTTTGGACTTTGATCACTTGGTACCAGAGAAAAACCCACAGCCTTCTGGACCCTTGAGGCCAAGGACAGGCCAAAAGTATGAGGGCTCCTGCTCACACCACCACCAGGAGGGTCCTAGCTCTCGTCTCCCCCTTGGAAAGGACCCAAGTTTCTGCATGTTGGTGGCTGCCTCACAGCTGGCCAGTCCCTGGTTCTCTGAGCTTGTCACCAGCTGCAGCAATGGCTTGGGCTTCACTGGCCACCAGGGAGATGAGTGAAGACAAACTCTATCCCAAACAGGCCTGTGCAGGTCACAACACAAAGGAAAACTCTGAGCCACATTCTCACCACCATTAAAACTGCCAGAAATGGCAGTGACTCCTGCTACCCTTGCAGATGTCCGCCCAGCATAGTGAGGCAGAGAGCCTCTGCATTGTCCTTGTGGCCCACTGAGATGGGGAGACTACGTGGTGGAGTGGGGGCCCTGGAGGAAATGTCCTTCCCCAGGAAGTGTTCAGCCCCACCCCGGTGCAGGAGAACCCAGCCCAGCAGGGGACGAGAGATGAGGGGGATGGAAAGGCCTGGGTGGCTGGTGGTGAGGAGGAAGGAAGCCCACAGTCTCTGCCCGGCTTTGCCCTCCTCCTCCCGGGTCCTGCCTCTGTCCCGGGTCGGATCCATTGCCTCCTCTTGGAGTCTGTGAAGGCAGCTGGAGAACCAGCCCTGGCCCTGTCCTGGCAGTCAGTTTAGGGCAGAGAAGCCCAAATACACCTTCCAGAGAGGGCAGAGATGCCTGCCAGGGGCTTGTTCTTGCTTCCAGGGCACGGCTCCCACCCCTACCAGGACCCAGAGCGGCCTGAACCGCAGGGCCCTGCCCCCATGATGCCACCCGCCTCTGGGTCCAGGGCCACTTTTTCTGGTCTGTTACCCGCCTTCACTTCCTTCTCCCTCTCTACCCCCTCCCCTGTGTGAGGAACCTGCCCCCAGCAGGGCATGGGTCCTCTTCCCACCTTCTCCTGTGGCCCCCCAGATGAGACCCTCATCCCCTCTTCTTTGGCTCCAGCCCGGGTTCCCTTCCCCACCTCACATTTCCCCTTCAAGACCCTCCTTGGCCACCACGTCTCCTCCAACCTTTGAACTTTTCCCCTGAAAGTAGCCCCTGATTTGTCCTCCTGCACCAAAAATACTGATTTGTTCCAGATTCCCGAACAGTGTGTATCCCACCGTGACCACCCCCACCCAAAACAAGCCAGGCACTAGACACCCTCCCCCAGGGGAGGCTGCAGTGCTGTGTCAGCGAGTGCATGGAGACAGAGGCCTGGGAGCCACAGGGGCCACCACCCCTTGGAGACACCATGCCTGCCTACAGCTTGCTGACAGCCACTTGTGCCTTTCAGGGCAAACTGGATACCTTGTGCAACTTTGCTCAAAACTGCAACCAGGTGCCGTTGATGTGGTGTCAGCCCAGAGATAAGGTAAGCCGAGGACAGGCTTGCTCCTCATGGGGCAGGGGCCTTGCTTTTGCCCTGGACTATTGTGCTCTGGGACTGTGGGTGACGTGCCAAGGAGGAATGGCCCAGACATGGAGACTGGGTGCTCAAGGCCTCCCAGGCCACTTCTGGACATGACCCCTGTGTTTCCATGCACTGTCGGCTCAGGAATGTGGGGAGCTTTCTCATCTGGAGCAATAGGCAGCCCTTCCAAACTGAAGTGAAAGGGCTGGAGAGGCCAGGAGCCCAGTGCGTGCTGTGGCCTCCCGGGCCATGGCCCTCCTCACGGCCCACCAGGTCCTGTGGGTCTGCTGGCTCCCCGCCTCCAAGGAGCCAGGAGTGGAGGAGGGCATGGTGACCCCTCCCCAATGTTCTCTGTGCAACACTGCCTGGCTTCACCAGCTATAAAGGTTCTGTCCTGTGTCATTCTCTGTGACAACAGGGAGAAGCCAAATTGTCACAAGTGTCATCTTGAAATTTAATAATGATACCTAATATTTTTAAGCTTTTTTTTAAATTGCAGTAACATTGGTTTATAACATATAAAGTTCATGTGTACATCGTTATGTTTCAGTTTCTGTGTAGACTACATTGTGTTCACCCAAAGACCAATTACTGTCCATCACCATACACACGTGCCGTTTAGTCCTTTCACCTTCTCCCCTCCCCACTTCCTCTCTGGTAACCACCAATCCAATCTCTGTCTATTTGTGTTTCTCTCTTCTTGTTTTTACCTTCTACTTATGAGTGAAATCATATGATATATGAGTTTCTCTGTCTGAATTTTTCTCTTAGAAGAAGACCCTCAAGGTCCATCCATGTTGTCACAAATGGCAGATTTCATCTTTTTTTATGGCTGAGTAATATTCCATCGTGTATATATACCACATCTTCTTTATCCGTTCATCCATTGATGGGCACTTAGGTTGTTTCTGAGTCTTGGCTATTGTAAATAATGCTGCAATGAACATAGCAGTGCAAATATCTTTTTGAATTAGTGTTTTGATGTTCTTTGGGCAAATACCCAGAAGTGGAATAGCTGGATTGTATGGTAGTTCTATTCTTAATTTTTTGAGGAATTTCCATACTGTTTTCCATAGTGGCTACACCAGTTTACATTCCCACCAGCACTGTATGAGAGTCCCTTTTCTCCACATCCTCTCCAACACTGGTTATTTCCTGTCTTGTTATATATAGCCATTCTGATGGGCATGAGGTGATATCTCATTGTAGTTGTGCTTTGCATTTCCCTAGTAATTATTGATATTGAAGATCTTTCCATGTCCCTGTTGGCCATCTGTATATCTTCTTTGGGAAAATGTCTATTCAGATCCTTTTTCCATTTTTTAATCAGGTTGTTTTTTGTTGTTGAGTTGTATGAGTTCTTTATATATTTTGTATATTAACCTCTTTCAGATATCTAGTTTGCAGATATCTTCTCCCAATTATTAGGTTGTCTTTTTATTTTCTTGGTGGCTTCCTTTGCCGTGCAGAAGCTTTTTAGTTTGCTGTAGTCATATTTGTTTATTTTTTATTTTGTTTCCCTTGCCTGAGTAGATATGCTATTTGAAAAGATACTACTAAGACCAATGTCAAAGAGTGTACTCCCTATGTTTTCTTCTAGAAGTTTTACGGTTTCAGGCCTTACATTCAATCGTTAATCCATTTTGAGTTCATTTTTGTGCACAGTGTAAGACAATGGTCTACATTCATTCTTTTGCATGTGGCTGTCCAGTTTTCCCAACACCGTTTATTGAAGAGCCTTTCCTTTCTTCATTGTACATTCTTGGCTCCTTTGTTGAAAATTAGCTGTCCATAGATGTGTGGGTTTATTTCTGAGCTCTCACTTCTGTTCCATTGACCTGTGTGTCTGTTTTTCTGCCAGTACCATGCTGTTTTGATTACTACAGCATTGTGTAGTATATTTTGAAATCGGGGAGTGTGATGCCTCCAGCTTTGTTCTTTTTTCTCAGGGTTGCTTTGTCTATTCTTGTCTTGTGTTGTTCCATATAAATTTTAGGATTCTTTGTTCTCTTTCTGTGAAAAATGTTGTTGGGATTTTAATAGGGATTGCATTGAATATGTAGATTGCTTTATGTTGTGGACATTTTAACTATGTTAATTCTTACAACCCATGAGCATGGACTATCTTTCCATTTCTTTATGTCTTCTTCGATGTTTTTATGATGGCTAATTTTTATTGAGTCCTTCCTATGGGCCAGTTGCAAGCGTAAGAACTTTACAGGTTTGCCCTCTGCAGCCTCCCAGTAACTGTTCTTGTAGGGACTTCTATTATCCCAGTGTTATCAAGGGGGGAGCTCATACACAGAGAGGCTGAGTGACTTGTCCCAGATCACAAAGCCTGGGACTGGCCAAGCTGGACTTGAGCCCCGACTCAGGCTATACCCTCTCCCTGCCCTGCCCCCGTTTCGGGTCAGCATTCGTGATCTCATGATGGTTTCCCCAAAGCACTGCAGGGCTGCCCTTCTCAGGACCCCGGGCCCAAGGAGAGCAGTGCTCTTGGCTCACTGGGGCTCATCGACCTGGGTCCCCATGCTCAGGCCCTTGGCGCAGGCTGGGCCTGAAGGAACCTGTTGTTCCCAGGGTCTGTCCTGAGGGCTGCATCGGCCACATTCCCTGAATCAGGCAGACGCTGGCTCTCGATGGCTGGGCAGGTGGGTGTTCACAAGCTCTGGGCAGGCCCAAGAGTGTCTGGGCACTGCTGATGAGATACCCCCAAGACCTGCTGACACCTAGCAGGGCCCTTGTCTGGTGTCGGTGGTGTCGGGGCTCCTTGGTAGCTGGGCTCCTGGTCTGGGTCTACTAGAGCTCTCAGTCCCAGCCATGCCATCACAGAAGCCCCATCTCCATCTGATTCGCCTGGAGCCTCTCCCCAGGACCTTAGCCCCGTTATGGTCACGAGAGCGCCACGCCACCTTATGCCCCAAACAGTGGAGACCCCGGCCCAGAGATGCCCACTCAGGTGCTGGAGAGCCAGAGCAAGACAGAGGGTTCAAGTGGAGGAGGCGAGAGGCCAGAGGGTGGATGAGGGAAGGATGCCAGCAATGGCCTTTCGGCCCAGCAGGGTGAGGGCAGGGCTGCCGAGCAGCCCTCTGAAATGCTCATGTTCCCAAGGACCACTCTCTGAAGCTCAGGTTGGGAGAGTAGTGGATTATGGGGCACTGACAGCTGCTCAGGGCTCCACCAGACCCCTGCAATGCCAGCTCTCGAGGCCTCCCAGCAGTCCTGCGAGCCTGGAGTGACCAACCGTTTGTTTCCTGATGGCAAAACAGAGGCCCAGGAGGTCAGGGGAGTGTCGGAGACCCCATGGAGAGTAAGGGGCAGCCTCCAGGGCTGTCTGAAATAAACCCTGCTCGTCCTCAGGAGAGCCGGGAGCCCATAACTGTGCCTGTGGACACGGGCCCCTGCCCACTCCTCTGCCCCCGTCTTGTTTGACCTTGTCCCTCCCAACCTTTGTCCTGGAGACCCGAGTGTTGTAGGACTTCTGTTGGCTACCCCACTATTCCAGTAGGTGCAGGAGTTCTGGCTCCTTCTCTTTAAGCCTTCAGCGCACTGGTCCCAGGCCTTGAAGTGAATCAGGGACTAAAGAGACTGGGGTGAGAGCCAGGCCCTGCAGTCTCTGCAGACCAGAGCTGGCCCCAACCCCAGTCCTGAGTGTACAGCGCCAGACACCCAGCCCCTGCTGCTTGGGCACGCATTATCCAGTAGTGGCCTCGTGACCTTCCTTCCTGAGCCACAGGCTCCCTGAGTGAGAAGGAGGTCTGGAGCTGGAGGAGAGAGCACATCTCAGTGAGAACCCATTTGAGACCAGGCTTGGAGGACTCAGCTCAGCCCAGCGGGGCCCCGGTGAGGGGGCTAGAAGGCGCTGGTCAGATATCCTACCCTGGACAGTCATGCACCCTCACCCACTCACTGCAGGTCCCCTTGCATGCCCCCCACCCTCTTCCAGGAGGTCTCCTAGACATAACCTCAGCCCGGCCCGCTTCACCAGGCTGTGCTGGAATCAGAAGCAACAGAGGAGGGAGTTGGCATTCCTGGCAGATCCAGTGCCCAGCCTGTCTCTGCTCCATCTGGGCCCTGACCCACAGGGGAGGTTGTTTCCATACTCCTGCTCATGAGCTGGACCTGCAGTCCGGCCTGGGGCCACGGAAGAGCTGGGGATATTAGTGGACCTTTCACACGGAGTGCTGTTGACTCCAGGAGCTGCTGCCTTCTAGAACCTCACTCACTGGCTTGTTTCAGCAAATCTAGGCTTTTTGCACTTCAGCACCTAATAATGCAGGAAATTGCCAAAGGCTCAATTTACGGCAAACCTCAGCTGATTTGTATCTAAGGTGTCAGTCTTGTTTACTGTAAACTTGTGTAAAATGACTTGTCTCTCTGCCCCGGGGCCTGCAATTCCCAGAGGAATTTTTCTAATCCTGTTCCCTCCCAGACCCTCTCTCCCGACATGCATATACGATGACAATGACGCAGCAACGCCCAGTCTAGTTTCTTAATCTTAAGCAAAACCCTGACTCCCTTCCAGGGTCCTGATTCTCTTCCTCTGTTGCCTTAGATCCCTGGGCAGCCCCTTAGCTCATGGACAACAGTTCTAGATCCATCAGGAAAATGGGGCCAATAATGGGAAACCTTGCCCTCTCTCACTGAACGTGACGCTGACAGTAATGTCACTGTTCTCCGCTGCGTATCATCTGAGTGCGCACCCCCACCCCAGGCCCTTGACGAACAGGATCTCATTTCATTCCCATAACAACAGCTGCCCTTTGTCCAGAGTTTACAGACGGCCACGCTGTTCTGAGTACTAACACAAGTGCATGCTCTGCGGACCCCCAACAGCTCTATGTGGGACGAAGCTGAGGCCCTACACAGTTAAGTCAGCAGCCCAAAGTCGCACAGCCATGGAGCAGTGGGGCCATGCAACAGCCCGGTGCCCGGCCCCTCCCCATGTGCTTGGCTGCCCATCTGTCCTGCAAGGAGGTCGCTGCTCTGCATTTAGCAGCTGTGGACACTGAGGCTCTGACGTTTAGAGAGGGGCTCAGCGTGACCGGCTTATGAGGGCTGTAGCAGGACTGTGAATGACCCCTGGGGAGGCTCCCTTCCAAGTCTGGCCTCCATGCCCCAACTCATGCTGTCCGGGTGATATGGAAACATCTGGAAAGTACTTCCTTCTGCTGTGCGGTGTGGTAGATGTGCAGACACTTGTGAATATGACTGTCTTCTTGTCTCACTGTGTTGCTTGCAGACCTCCTCTAACCATGAACTGATAGCTATCTGCCGGGAAGCCGTTGTTCTGCGTAATGCTTAGAGCTGGGTACAGATGGGCCTTGTGATGCATCATGGCCAAGGAGCTCCTGAGTCCCTGTGACCCTGCCCGTGGAGGGAGCTCAGCCAAGGGTGTGATAAAGCAGGGGGTGGCTTCACCCCTCCAGGAAGTCCTCACTCAGCAGCTGTCCTTCAGCCAGTGACCTTTGGGGAAGTCTCCAATCATAACGTTGGGGTTGTGATGGCTGCCGGCTCCTCTGTGCTCCCTGGTCCCTCACCCTGAACTCACACTCACACACCCTCACACTCTCACACACACACTTCCCCATGAAACAAGCAGGAAATCCAAACTGGAGCCGAAGCTCCAAAGCACTGGAGATCAAGGCTGGCAAGCAGCCATTTGCCAAGCGTTTGAAGAAGCATCCCTCCACCGTGGAGAGGTTAGGCTGGTGCAGGAAATGATGGGGCGCTGGCTTAGCTCTCTGCCGTTGGTGGAAAGCCCGAGAGGAAGGAGACCCCCCACCAGCCACAGGCCCCTGCCCTTCCCCTCTTACAGTTACACCACCAACTCGGGCTCTGCCGACGGCCAGGCGTTTCCCCTGCTGTCTGGAGCCCCTCGCTCCTCTCCATCGTCCACGTGCAGACCCCCTGCAGCTCCCACAGAGAGGCTGTGGCCTGGGGAGGCGGGACGCCTCAGTGCAGTGTCCTACGGTCGTGCTCCTGAGGAGATCAAAGGGTCCCACAGCCGTTGCTAGACACTTGGTCTAGACTAATCTGCTCACATTCTGGAGCCAATAAGCAGAAATAAGGGTAAAGATTCCAGTCTGTTCTCAGTAGCAACAGAAACAGCACACCCATGCCTGTGCGTAACACAAGTGTACTGACCTACAATGAAAAGAAGCTACGGTACTTTACTCATGCTATAAAAGAAGATGTGAAAACATGGAGACCTAGACTACAGTGTCAGCTTTTCCTGAAGGAATCCGTGGGCTTAGTGATGCTTTAGTCGAAATTGTAGTGAACATTTTTAGGGAATTTGATCAAAATGATTCTAAACTTCACCTGAAAAAAAAACAGTTAAGAATAGTTAAGGAAGGGTCAGCCTCAGTGGCCTAGTGGTTGACCTGCCTGGGTTCAGCTCCTGGGCATGGACGTACACCACTGGTCAGTGGCCATGCTGTGGTGGTGGCCCACATACAAGATAGAGGAAGACTGACAAGAGATGTTAGGGCGAATCTTCCACAGCAAAAAAAGAAAGAAAAGAAATGGAATTTCTGGTGCCATCCTGGGACAGGGAGGCTGGGGTCCTGCTGAATGACTGAGACCCTGCCCGTGGGCCTGAGAGAGGCTGTCTGACTTCAGTGTTGAGAGGAGAGGTCCGGCTCCAGTGCTCTGGGGGCTATGAGACTGGAGTGCTCCTGGACTGGCTTCAGGAATGCCGCATGGCAGAGGCGGCACTAGAGGATAGGGGAGTCTGGATGTCTGAAATGGAGAGGTCAGGGAGGACAGCCCTGGAACAGAGAAGCACAGAGGGCACAGCAGGGACCCGGGGATGCTCTGGGTGCATGCAGGGAGCATTGGCAACGGGCCGGGAGCCTGGGGTTGGCTGGTTGGGCTGGTTGGGCTGGTTGGGCTGGGCACCGGAGCTGGATCCCCAGGCAGTGGGGAAGTGCAGCGGAAGATGTGAGCTGGTGAGGAAGCTCTTGGGAAAGATGGTACTCTGAGGCCTGGATTGGGGGTAGAGCAGAGCCAGGTGACCAGGTGAGAAGGGACACTTGAGTCAGCCTAAGAGGAAGGTGAGAATGGTGGCCAGGGCCACAGGTGGCTCAGGACAGGCACTGGGCAGAGTGGGCCCTGAGGCTGGGCCTGGTGACCTGGAGGCTAGGGAGGTCTAGAGGGAAGAAGGCAGGGGAGGTGAGCATGGGCAATATGGGGGCCAGCAGGAAGGTGGCAGGGGAGGGCAAGCCTGGGCCCTGGGTCTGGAGGAGAGAATGGCCAGCTAGGGCGTGGAGATCAGACAAGGGGACTGCTGATGAATAATCCAAGAATTTGCTGTCTGCAGAGACTTCAGGACTCTATTCAAGGTGGTTATGTGGGTGTTTGGAAAATAAGCAGATTTATTTTCTCGTGTGTATTTTTATCTATTATCTAGTTTCTCTACAATGGGCAGGTATTACTTTTATAATCAGAAAAAGTAAAAATGTTTATGTATAAAAGAGAAGATATTAACTTGATAAAATCTAAGGTGAATTGACATAGAAAGTTGCCTAGAAAGTGACATTTAGCAAGGTATCTCAGTTTTGTCATGCTGGGGAAGATCAGAGTGAGGAACCCCTTCCCATCTCTGGGCTTGGCTCTGCTCTGCACATAAGGGTGCAGGTCCCAGAGGGTATGTGTATTTCCCGAGAGTTTTGTCGGATCAGACATCCTTGTGGGTGTGGAAGAGGACAACATCAGGTTCAAGGTGTCGCACATTCATTAAGACATACTTATAAATTCAAGGGGTTTTAGATGTTTTGTTTTCCTAATGTGACTCCATTAGGGGGAAAAACCATGATCATTCTAAAGGGTTAATAAAGATTTTAAAAACTAGGGTGATGAAAGTGACGGTCTCAGTAAGAGAAAGCAGCATTCAGTGCCCTTTGTCATTCACAGGCATCTTATGCGTGAGTGACAGGTTCACAGAAGCCAGAGTCTACACACCATGTGGAGCACCTGGGGGGTCTGGTGGGAGTTTCTGGGGTCTGACAGGCCCAGACAGACCTAGCAGGGGGCTCAGCGGGATTCTGGGCAGCAGAAGGGTGGGCTTGAGTAGAGAAGGAGCTTGCCAGGCCCCGGCAGCCAGAGAAACCACAGCCTTCTGCTCCCAATTCAGTGGCTTTTCAGTGACCTTCTCCTTCTTGTCCCTGCAGGACAGATGCATGAACTTCACCCTAGTGAAGCCGCCCTGCGGGCAGTTGTCCTGTGGCCCAAAGATCTGCCTTGCACCCAGCCAGGAGTGCTTCTCCCTCCACAGCTGCTGCTCACGGTGCCAACACCCCCAAGCCATCTGCTCCCGGCCTGCCTCCAGGATGCTGCCGATGATCCCCCCCCATGTCCAGGCACTCTGCAGAACTACTTTGTCACACCCGCCCCCTTAGTCCAACCTCTAAAGCACCAGAAACGCGGGATTGTTAAGAGCCCCTTGTGTACTGAATTGTACATATATATTGAGTCTTGGTTTACAGTCAAACAGAGTTGGAATTTGTTGCTGATCGGCAAGAGTTTGTTTTCTGATGAGTGTTGCCCCATGGTATAAGACATATCTATACTGCTTCTACAGGGACAAAGCACCCTGGTGTCGTGTGGATGTAGACGTGGCTGCGTACTGCTCCCCACAGCCTGATCTTCATCTGTCACCAAGGGCTGCAGCACATGGGGTTTTAGCCAAATTCTGCTCTGGTGAAAAAGCGAGGAACATCTTTGGACTATGAATACAATCTTGTGTCTACTCCCTTGTTTTATGCAGAGAGAAGTACTTGAATTTCTCAGCTCCTTCACTTGATGCTCTTGGTTTCCATTCTTTGGCTACCCACATTCTGACTGTGTCATAGGAAGAGACAGCCCCCTAGCCTTTGTCAGCTGGAAGGGCCACTTCATTTCCCAGATAGCCCGAACTATCCCTAAGCCCAGGAGAACTTTAGAGGGCCCTGTTTCCCAGAGAAGGTGCACCTCCCCTGTTAGCCCTTTGCCACCATAGCAGAAACCACGGACCAACAGGGATGTTTCAGCATGCAGTGTCCTGCCGCCCAGCATGTGCACACGTGTCTGTGTGACTACTCCAAGTGCCGGGCACACAGCCCACAGCAGCCTGACTCGGGACCCCTGGGCAGAAAGAAAAAAACTTGCCGGAATGGCGTGTATGTCTCTATGCAGAGACTGTTTGCAGGGTTCCACTAGGGCATGTGACCTTGAACCTTGACAGCGTTTATACCTGAAGTTGCCGTTTCTTAAGGGCCCCTCCCTCACTGCTCTGTCTTGTCACAGCTTGGGCCCCACATCTGTGTCCTGACAACGGCCAGGACAGGAGCAGTGAGAGAGGGCATCCCCCACACCCTCGTGGGCCTAGTCCATCTCTGCTAGCACGTCCGTCTCCCAAGCTGTTTATAAGAAGGCTTTCCCCGGCACAAAATGCCAGGCACAAGGCATTTCAGAGAAATAAGCCAACGGAAGTGGAGGAAATCGAGGAGGGTACTGAAAGCCCCATGGTGTGGGACTCAGTGTTTGATTTTGGCCTCGCTCAGAGATGCATTCCCAGAGCAACTGTAGGCGCAGAGAGCGGCCATCCATCCCTCACTTCCTGACATCCCACATGGAATGTGAGCCCCTTGTCACTATTGTGTTTTGGTTTGGTTTGGTGTCACAAAGAGTAAAAGCCACTGGTCTGGTTGTGTAAATACAGAGGATGTTAATGAGGGGCACTTGATGCCTGGCTGGCAGGTGACACGGCCCATATGTGGCCCCATGGGGCAGGGTCCAGAGAGGTGGGTCACAGACTCGAGTGCAGGGGTGGAGTGGGCCCCACTGGTTCTGGAGCCTTCGCTGAGCTGCCTGGCACCTCTGGGTCATGTACACGTTCCAGCTTTAAAAAACGGTGACTGGGACTGTGGGTCTTTTGAGAATCAGGGAAAAAATATTTATTGTATTCATGATACCAAGAAAAGTGTGTGAAACTTTTTTTATTAAGCAGGAAGAGTGTTAAAATAACCTCAAAGTGTATAGAGAAGTTTTATCTCTTCCTTAGAAGTGGAATATTTCGGGTTGTCCATAATTGGTGAAAGCATGGTCTGGGTCTGAGAGATTCGAGGACACTTTCCCAAAATTGGCTGTGTGCTCCTACTTTTTATCCACATGTAAACATAAGACAGCACGTGCTCATCTCTGAGACTCCGTGCCCCTGTATGGAGCCATGTGTCTGTGATTTAATAAAGAGCTTGACGTGGCCCTGACTAAAATCGACGGATCTGTTTATTAATGGATGTTGAGAGCCTTCTTGCTTTTAGCCAATTGGACTAAGGCCTGTCACTCCTGAATGTTAGACCAGAGGAGAACTTGGAGGAACACCGGCCTGCCCTTCGCCACCCACACTGACCCTCAGATGCCTGCCTCACCTTCTCTGGTGAACAGTAGCAAGAGGCAGCAGGAAAGGGGAGTTTCAGGTGGTCCCTGCCATCCCGCTTTCTGGCTCAGCCCATCTCTGGTTTGGGACCCCTCACCCTAGTGAAGCGGCACAGGGCGCGGCCTGCAGCTGACGCCTGACATCCCGGGGGCTACCTTTTGCCCCACCTCCCCCTCCTGCCTGAGTCCTCAGGCACAGCAGGGTATTTTTAGAAAAGCAGTCTCACATCTCAGCTGCCCCAGACTGAGGCAAGTGCAAAGGGGAATATACTGAGCAGTGCTGGTCCCTTATTTTAGACTAGGGCAGTAAAAGCACACATTGTGCGCATGTCTCTTGGTGTCCCGTTAAGCAGCCCCAGTAGACTCAGAATGGACCTCCAAGCCTGAGCCAAAGCTTGTGCTTCTGGAAGCCAGGAGCCCCCTGACCCCACCAGGGACAGCCGCAGACCTCCTCCACAAGCACACAAGTAGAAGTGCACACACCCCCTGTTGGAGCTGGTGTTCTAACAAAGCTGTGGCCTTAGCTGCAGTCCCCGCCCGTTGTCTGTTTCTGTGCACTGGGCACCCCAGAGCGGGCCCAGGATGTGGAGGAGGCCAGCGCGGTGGAGGGAGTGCCATTTCTCAAGCACTGCCCGGCTCATCCATGTGCTGTGATGGGCAACCTGCCCCCATGGGCAAGTCCTCTTCCATCTTGTGTCAAGACTGAAGCTCCTGAGGGGCGATGCTTAGTGACTCCAAGTGAGGAGCTGGAGTGGACAGCAAGGGAGGACAGACGTCAGGGGTCAGACAGGGTGGCTGCCCGATGCCAGACCCCCGGGGGATGGCTGGGTAGTGACCAGGCCCAGGGACCCAGTTCACTAGAGCTGCTTGGACTGAAGGGCCTGTGCAGGTTGGGCACTGGGTGACTCAAGGACAGACTTGAGGACTGCTGACCAGGGACCTTCTGCATTCGGGACTTTGGCCCAACCCTGGAGGAAGAGGAGCCCTCAGGAGCATACAAAAACTACATTCTTAAAATGAAGAATTCCATTTTAAATCATGAATCTTTCAAGTGAACCACAAAGCTTCAAAAATTTCACAGGCCACTCCAAAATGTGCCCCCAACCTGTTTATGTCCTTTGTCAACTGGGGAATTTTCATGCAGGAGTTTAAGAAATCCAGCCATAAGGGCTCCGCATCTGGAAGACCCCTGCCTCTGGGCTGTTTAGAGGCAGGGCCTGCAGTGGCCACCAGATGGACAGGCTGCAAGGTCGGGAAGGGACCTTGGAGACTCATCATCTCCTTTGACAACTGAGGAGCTAGGGAAGAACGTTGGTGCCTTGTTGTCCTCAGAGCCGCAGCCCTGTGCTCATGATCTTCATGCTGGCTCTGGGGCTCCAATGACATCCAGAATGTCCAGCATTGCAACCTGTGAGCCCAAGGGTGACCTGGGATTCTCAAACCCAAAGATACAATTCCTTGTCGGTGATCGGCGTCCGAGGAAGCAAACTCTGGCTCAGAGAGCAGATGGCCAGCCACGGGAGGCGCTCACCACGCAGCCAGGAGGCCAGGAAGGGGAGGGGCGCCTCTCAGAGATGGGCTGCTACATCAGCAGAAGCCTAACCTGGGGCCCAGGGGGTAGAAGGCACAGGGGGCTGATGGGCATCTCTCTCCTGCAGTGCCCCCAGGGGCCTTCCTGCCTTGTAGCCTCAGGCATTAGGTGTCCAGGTGCCTCACTGAGGATGTGGGATGAAGATGATGGAGGCCAGTGTGATGTGGTCGATTATTCCAGGAGATGGCGCTCAGAGCTTACATTTGTTTACCAGCCCAATTTAAAAGTCCATTTTAAAACGTCAGTGTTAGCAGTCATGGAACTAATATAATTGAGACTTCCATTTCACCCATTATGGGTCACCCTCTATCACGCGGTCAATCATGAGAGCTATTTGTCCCCATCTTGGATCTCAAGACATTTCTTTAAGACCTGGAGAGATGGGAGAGTTCTTGGAGGGGTGGGGGGACCCTGCACTGCCCTAAGCCCTCAGCACGCACTTTTCCGACCACAGGCCCCCCACCGAACACGCAGCCTCCTATGATGACAGCAGACCCACGGCTTGGGCGGCCAGGTCTGTGCCCATGGAACGACTCCAACCCCTCTGCCAGAGCCCAGTGTGCCCACGCGTACGGGCCCTGCACAGTAGCAGGGACCCATGGAAGAGCCCTGCCACTCCCCTGCCTTCTCCCCACCATCATCCGTCTACTCCTCATTCACTGCAGACCTGGGCAGGCTGACGCTGCCCTGCAGCCCAAGACCCACACTTATCCCGGGCAACCCCAAGGTCCACAGGATGACCCATCTAACACCATGACCTCTTGATCCTTGACCTCTTGCCTCCAGCTCCCTGCCCTGCAAGCCTTCTCCCCAGCGCTGACCACAGCCTGAGCCTGACTATCCCATAGCCACACGATTCAGACGTCTCTCCCAACACCGAGGACACTTCCAGTCTATTCACTTCTTACTCCCACTCCATTATTTTTAACCTCATCAGGGCCTGCAATCCATCGACAGCTCCATTTTCTTTCAAGCACAGGCCCCAGCACACGGACCAATCTCATTCCAGTTTGCTGCATTTCTCTGGCCCCTTCTCTTTGTGTCACGTGCTCAGGCGGAGACTGCCGACTCAGATGGATGGAACCAGTTGTTTGCCTTTTCTGAGACCACCCTGGGCTCCCGATTGCTGGGGGGAAAAATGCACCCCTGGCTGACTGGCACCCTCATAAGTCAGTGCCCACCAGCCTCAACCTCAGGTGCTGAGCACAGCTTTTAATACAAAGTTCATCAAGAAAAACAAGAAAAAACATTTACTAAATGCCAGCCAATCTTTTAAAAAGTGAGGAAACTTGAAGTCAAATCAAATCAAGACAGTGAGCGGCTGTTGGACCTTGAAGACATGAGAACAAGGCTTATGCCTAAGGGGCCAAGACGCTCATGCCAGGTGGGGTCAGAGGTGAGGCCTCAGCTCTCAGGCATGTAGAGAGCTGAAATCTGCTCCCTCTTAAGCCAAGAGCTGCAGGGGGCAACAGCGCCCATAAAAC